TTAAAACTTCAATGAGATACCACTTCACACCAGTCAGAATGACCATCATAAACAAAGCAACAAACAACAAATGTTGGAGCCATTGTGGAGAAAAGGGGACCCTAGTGCACTGTTGGTGGGACTGCAGACTGGTACAACCACTATGGAAAGCAGTATGGAACTTCCTCAGAAAACTAAAAATGGATCTGCCTTTTGACCCAGCAATTCCACTGCTGGGTCCATATCCTAAGAACACTAAAACACCAATACAAAAGAACCTTTGCACCTCGATGTTCATAGCAGCACAATTTACAATAGCTAGGTGCTGGAAGCAACCTAGATGCCCATCAGTAAATGAATGGATCAAAAAACTGTGGTACATTTACACAATGGAATTCAGCAGAAAGAAAGAAGAAGCTCCTACCCTTTGTAACAGCATGGATGGAACTGGAAAGCATTATGCTAAGCAAAATAAGCCAGGCAGTGAAAGAGAAATGCCATATGATCTCAACTTTAACAGGAACCTAAACAACAGAACAAAGAAATAAGCAAAATATAACCAAAGACCCTGAAAAAGAGGACAGGCTGACAGTGACCAGAGGGGAGAGAAGAGGAAATTTCAGGGGGGAATGAGAAGGGTTTACAGGAACAAATTTAAAGGACACATGGACAAAAACTAGGGGGAGGGTGGTAATGGGAGGGAAGTGAGGAGGGTTGGGTGGGTGGGCTGGAATGGGAGTAAAAGGGAGAAAACTGTACTTGAACAATGATTAAAATTAAAAAAAGAAAAGAAATATAAGAATACCCAAATAAATGGAGAGTATAGTGTTCATGGATTTGAAGGCTTAATTAATATTATTAAAATGTCAATTCTCCCCAAACTGATCCATAGATATAATGTAATCTCAATGGAAATCTCAGCATTTTGTAGATATTAGGAAGCTGATTCTAAAATTTCCATAAAAGGCCTATAACAGCCAAAATAACTTTGAAATAGAACACTTACAATACTTGATTCAAACTCATTATTAAAGCTACAGTTATCAAGACAGTGTAGTCTTGGTAAAGACAAACATCTATATCAATTTAATACAATATAGAGACCTCTGGCCAAGATGGAGGCACAAGTGGATGCACCGTACCTCCACGCACAACCAAGATGGGGACAGCAACAATTTAGAAACAGAATAATATCCAGAACTGACAGAAAATTGATCTGAATGGAAGTCGGACAACCAAGAAGTTGAATTAGACCCGTGCATCTAGACCGGTAGGAGGGGCAGAGATGAGCAGCCAGGCGCGGGTTGCAGCGTGGAGAGCAGAGAGCAGTGGGACCTGGTGTGTAAGGCATCCAAGGCACGCAAGACCTCAGCAGGTGGACCCTGAGTGAGCAGGCAGCAGCTGGCAGACCCCGGCCAAGGGGTGGCAACCGGCAACCCACAGACCCAGTGAGGTTGGGATTGTAAAGCAAGGCAGTGTGTGCAACCCAGGATCACAGGGCTGGGAAATAGAGTCTCAGGACACTGATGGAGGACACCTGTGGGGGGTGAGGCTCATGGAGAGACACCCAGCCTCACAGGAGAGGTCCTTGGGGGTTCCACAGCGTGCACAAGGCCACCCACAATTGGCACCAGAGGGACCCAGCTTGCTTGGGGGAAGCAGCAGAGGGGACTGAGGTCCCACGGAGAACGGAGCAACTGCCATTGTTCCCTCTCGACCCTGCCCCCACATACAACGTCACAACCCAGCAACTGGGGTGCCCTGCCCTGGTGAACACCTAAGGCTCTGCCCCTTATTGTAACAGGTGCAACCAGACCAAAAAGAGAGAGAGAGAGAGAGAGAGGGCTCAAACAGAAGAACAAATCATTGCCCCAGAACCCATCATTTTAAGCGACTGAGAGATAGCCAACCTATCAGATGCACAATTCAAAATACTGGTGATCAGGATGCTCACAGAACTGGTTTATTTTGGTCACAAATCAGATGAACAAATGCAGGCTGTGATAAGAGAAATGAAGGAAAATGCACAGGGAACCAATAGTGATGAGAAGGAAACTGGGACTCAAAACAATACAGTGGACCGGAAGGAAGAAAGAAAGAACCAAACAAGAAAGAATGGAGAAATAAGAATTCAAAAAAATGAGGAGAAGCTTAGAAACCTCCAGGACATCTTTAAACGTTCCAATATCCAAATTATAGAGGTACCAGAAGGAGAAGAGGAAGAGCAGCAGATTGAAAACTTATTTGAGCAAATAATAAAGGAGAACTTCCCCATTCTGGCAAAGGAAATAGTCTTCCAGGAAGTCCAGGAAGCTCAGAGAGTCCCAAAGAATTTGGACCCAACGAGGAACACACCAAGGCACATCATAATTACATTAGCCAAGGTAAAAATGAAGGAGAGAATCCTAGAAGCAGCAAGAGATAAGGGGACAGTAACCTACAAAGGAGTTCCCATAAGACTGTCAGCTGATTTCTCTAAAGAGACCTAACAGGCAAGAAGGGGCTGGAAAGAAGTATTCCAAGTCATGAAAGGCAAGGACCTACATCCAAGATTGCTCTATACAGCAAAGCTTTCATTTAGAATGGAAGGGCACATAAAGTGCTTCTCAGATAAGGTCAGATTAAAGGAGTTCATCATCACCAAGCCCTTATTTTATGAAATGTTAAAGGGACTTATCTAAGAAAAGGAAGATAAAAAATATGAACAGTAAAAAAGACAGCAAACTCACAATTATTAACCACACCTAAAACAAAACCAAAAGAAACTAAGCAAACAACTAGAACAGGAACAGAACCACAAAAAGGGAGATCACATGGAGGGTTAGCAACAGGGGAGTGGGAGGAGGAAAGAGGGGGAAAAGGTACAGAGAATAATTAGTATAGATGGTAGGTAGAAAATAGACAGGAGGAGGGCAAGAATAGTATGGGAAATGTAGAAGCTAAAGAACTTATGACACATGGACATGAACTAAAGGGGGGGAATGTGGGTGGGAGAGGGTGTACAGGTGGAGGGGAGTGAAGGGGAAATTGGGACAACTGTAATAGCATAATCAATAAAATATATTTTTAAAATGTTAATACAATATAGATTAAGAAATAGACTCAAACAAAAATGGTCAATTGATTTTTAACAAAGGTAAGAAAAATTCAATGGTGAAAGAGTAGTTTTTAGCAACTGGCGATCAAACAATTTGACATCCACATGCAAAACTAAAATAAAACAATCTTGCTGTTGTTAATTTATAATATAATTTTATGATGGCCAATTAATCCACTTTGTGTGATTTTAACTTATTTAAATTTGTCAAGGCTTGTTTTTGATTCATGTGTTGTATTTAAAGTCTATTATTAGGTGCATATCCATTTAGAGTCTGTTAAGTCTTTTTGGTAAAATGACCATTTTATACATCTGTAATGTCCTTTGTACCTCTAATACTATTCCTTGTCCTAAAGTCTACTCCGTCATATTAAAATAGCCACTCCAGCTTTGTTTTCATGGTGTGTATTTTCCCATTCTTTTATTCTTAAGTCCTTATATTTAAAACGGGTTTCTTGAGACCAGCATGTAGATTTTTAATGTAATATGACTACTTTGATTTTCTATCATTTTGCTATGTGTTTTGTGTTTGTTCTATCTGCTTTTTTGTTCCCCTGTTCCCCTTTTCCTGTCTTCTTTTGAGTAATTTATTCTACTTCATTGCTTTTTGCCTCTCTCTCTCACTGTTCTAGGAAAAAGTTTCTCAACCTCAATACTATTGATATTTCAGACCAGATAATTCTTTGTTCTAGACAGCTGTCCTGTGCATTCTAGATGTCTAGCAACATTTCCGACCCCTACCCAATAAGTGCCAATTGAACCTCTCCCCCAATTGTGGTAGTCAAAATTGTCTCTAGACAGTATCCATTATCCACCTGTGGACAGAATTACCCCCAGTTGAAGACCTCTGCTTTAAAATTATAGTAGAATATCTAACATTTTAAAAGCTATGTTTCAAAGTCTGTGTTTCAGACTCAAAGTAATATTTTACTGTTTAGGTATCACATAGAGGATTTACAACCATGTAAGTCCCTTAATCTCATTCCTCTATGTTATAGTTGTCATGTGTAGTCAATCAACATGCATTACAAATTCATCACACACAATATTAAAATTTTTCTCAATTATTAAACGTATTTTAAAGAACCTTAAACACAATCTTTTATATTTGCCCAGATATTATTGCTTTTGTTTTTTCATTCATAAAGTTCCAAATTTAACCTGATATTATTCTCCTTCAGTCTGAAGAACTCAGCCTGAGGACCTTCAGCCTGAAGAGGGAGAGAAACACCAATGTGTGGTTGCCTCTATTAGCAATAATCGCACCTCGGATAAACCTCATTGGCTACGATACTGCCATTGCGCAAAGCTGTGTGGTTGCCTCTAACACACCTGCTACTGGGAACCTTGTCTGCAACCCAGGCATGTGCCCTGACTAGGAATTGAACCAGTGACCCTTGGGTTCTCGGGCTGGTGCTCAATCCACTGAGCCACACCAGCCAGGGCCAATTTTGTTCTTCTCTAAAATTTAATTTCTTTGCTAAGAACTTTTATCTTTCCATTTGTTTTATTTCATGTGTGTTTATCTATACATCATGGAGTTTATTTTAGTGTCTACTTTAAAGTCTTTATCTTATAATTTCAACATATGTGTCCTCTTGGGTTTGGTAACCACTGATTATCTTTTCCCCTGATAATCACATTTTCCTTGTCCTTTAATTATTAAGTACTTTTGGATTGTATTATAAACTTTTTGAATATTAAATTTTATAGACACGAATCCTGTTAAAATTTTCTAAGGGATGTTGTTGTTGTTGTTGTTGTTGTTACTGTTTTAGCAGGTAATCAACCCAGTAAGCTTCAGACTGTAAATTTTTATAATCACTTTCTAAACAGCAGAAAGGACATCTGAGTGAGCAGCATCCTTAAACCTTCCAGCAAGTGAGCAGATCCTCTGCGCCCCACAAGGGCTCTGGCTAACACCATGGGGGATTCCCAGCATGGCTCAGCCTCCAGCTGCTGGGCTACCTTCACCAACTTCTCAAGTAGCCAAAAGGGAATTCTTCTGTATACTGAGATTATATTCTGCTTGCTGATTCTGACCTGCTTCTGTGATTTAGAACTAGGATACTACTCCCTGATGGGGATTGAGATGAACCTTGCTGTTGTCTTCCTTGTCTTGTACTTGACTGGCCTGCACACTAAGATACAATGCATCAGCTGGCCCTGGTGTGATTTCTTTCGAACCCTTTCAGCAGCAATTATCTACCTGATCACCTCCATTTCTGTCCTTGCTGGGAAAGGAACCCGCTCTGAAATTATTGATGGGATATTGGGCCTAATTGCTACCTGCCTCTTTGGCTGTGATGCCTATGTCTCCTCCCCCTTGAGACAGTAAAGACATACAGCAGCCCCTACTGACCTTGCAGATGGCCTACTATAGTGAATTCCCTTCATTTCTCTCTGCAGCCTGCAACTCTTCCATTGAATTAATTCCTCCAACCCCCATAACATTTACAGCCAACTCCTAGCTCCCTATGGAGATAAAAATGCCTTTATTGGGAGAATTTGTCTTCCAGCCTGCCAATCAACCCTCTTGGCCACCTTTATGGTTGTACCTAAGTCCCCATTCTGCAGTATCCAAAGGAAGAGGCTAATTCTGCCTGGACAGTGCCCCAACCTAAGCCCAAAATGAATGAGGAAGGCACCTCTGATTTCAGACTAACTCTACTCCAAATAATGTCCTCAGTGTAAGGGGTAGTTCAGTGGAAGGATAAATAATAAACTGATTGTTAGAACAAAAACATCACTTTTTGTAGGCAGTGGTTCCAATCTCAATTCAGTTTTTAAACCTTGTTGATGCTGCTTTGGGTCTATTCAACACACATATCACTGAGAGGTAAGTCTGAGACCTGGTTGGTGGTTTGATACTTAGTTCAATTCTCAAAACTTTGGCTATGCTGCTTTGGGTCTGTCCCATACATATGCAACTCAAGGGTAACTGGGGGCTTGTCCAATTTCTTACACAGTCAGTTGAGACATCTTGTTCTCCAGCTCACTTCTCTCCAGAATGCCTCCTACACTCTCTGCTCCACAGAGTACCTATTTCTCAGTTTTTCTGTGCAAAAATATTAGGTTTATTTTAGAGGTTTAATTGCTTATATAACTGCTGCTGACAGTTGTGCAGTTGGAGCCTGTCTTTGGGGCAAAGTCATAGGACAAAAGAAGGTAATAATTGGAAAATTCATTCTCAAATGTGTTGCTTTTTTAAGTTTTGACTCCAGTTCACAACTGACCTGTCTTTACTTAAACAGTACTCAGGTAATTGTGTGTGTGTGTGTGTGTGTGTGTGTGTGTGTGTGTGTGTGTGTATTTTATCAGAGGTTTTAGTTGTGATCTGGAGGAGAAAGTCTATAGTGGATTACTCTTTCTTGGTCACAATTGGAAGCCATATCATGATATTTGACATAAGGAAAAATTTTCTAAGAATTTTGTAAAGATGTAAAAAATTAACATAATGGAAAATAGATGTCTTAGAGATCACACAGACTATTGGAACACCCCTCAGTTGTTTCCTGGGGTAGGACTGGGAAAGAGTGCTAAGTGTAGACAACAACAATCAAGTATATCTTTAAAATAACTACCTGAAGACAGAGCTCAAACATTCTAGTTATGCTGAGATATCCTGATGTCCTTTCTCATACTCTTCTTCAAATACTCTTGCACAAATACCCTTTATTGACATTGAGGGTAATGATTTATTTATTTTAACTTTTCTTTCTTTTTTATTTAATCTTTATTGTATTTTTTTCCATTACAATTTAGTACCCTTACACCTGACCCCCAAACTCACCACACTGTTGTCCATGTTCGAGTCCTTTTCCCTTTTTGCTCAATACTTCCACCCCCTAACCTCCTCCACCACTAACTGTGGTCTGCTCTCCATCATTGAGTCTGTCTCTGTTTTACTTATTAGCTCAGTTTGTTCTTTAGATTCCACATATGAATGAAATTATATGGTATTTGTCTTTCTCTGACTGGCTTATTTTATGTAACATAATGTTTTCTAGGTCTATCCATACTGTTGCAAAGGATAAAATTTTCTTCTAACTTACAGCTGAGTAGAGTTCCATTGTATAAATATCCCATAGTTGTTTTATTCGTTCATCTATTGATGAACTGCTTCCATATTTTGGTGGTTGTAAATAATGCTGCAGTGAACATAGGGGTGCTTATGTTCTTTCAAATTAGTGTTTTGTGTTCCTTTGGATATAGTCCAGGAAGTGAGATTACTGGATCAAAAGGCAGATCCATTTTTAATTTTCTGAGGTACCTCCATACTGCTTTCCACAATGGCTGTATCAGTCTGCACTCCCACCAACAGTGCACTAGGGTTCCCCTTTTTCCACATCCTTGCCAGCACTTGTTGTTGATTTATTGATGATAGCCATTCTGACAGCTGTGAGATAGTATCTCATTGTGGTTTTAATTTGCATTTCTCTGATGATTGGTCACCTTGAGCATCTTTTCATGTGTCTATTGGCCATCTGTATGTCCTATTTGGAGAAGCATCTATTCAGATCCTTTGCCATTTTTTAATTGGGTTTTTTGTTTCTTTGGTGTTGCATTTTAGAAGTACTGTGTAAATTTTGGATATTAATCTCTTATCAGATGTATTGGTGAATATGTTCTTCCATTCTGTTGGTTGTCGTTTTATTTTGTTGATGATTTCCTTTGCTGTGCAAAAACATTTTAGTTTGATGTAGTTCCGTTTGTTCAGTTTTTCTTCTGTTTACCTTGCCTGGGGAGATATATCCTATAAAAAATTGCTATGGGCAATGTCCAAGATTCTGCTGTCTATGTTTTCTTCTAGAATTTTTATGGTTTGGGGTCTAACATTTAAGTCTTTGATCCATTTTTAATTTATTCTTGTGTGGTATGTAAGAACATGGTCTAGTTTCATTTTCCTGCCCATATCCATCCAATTGTCCCAACACCATTTACTGAATAAACTATCTTTAGCCCATTATATGTGCTTGCTTCCTCTGTTAAGTACTAACTATAAAGGTAGGGGTTTATTTCTGGGCTTTTTATTCTGTACCATTGATCTATATGTCTATATTTATGCCACTACCAGGGTGTTTTGATTATTATGGCCTTGAAATATAGTTTGGTATTAGGTAGCATGATTCTGCCAACTTTGTTCTTTCTCAAGATCACTGTTGCCATGTGGGACCTTTTGTGGATCCATATAAATTTTTGAAATATTTGTTCTAGTTCTATGTACTATGTCATTGGAATCTTGATAGGAATTGCATTGAATCTATAGATTGCTTTGAATGGTATGGACATCTTAATGATGTTAATTCTTCCATATCCATGGTATGTGCTTCCAATTATTTGTATCTTCTTCACTTTCTTTCTTCATAGTAATTGTGAATGGGATTGTTTTCTTAATTTCCCTTTCTGTTAGTTCATTATTGGGCTATAAAAATGCAACTGATTTCTGGATATTAATTTTGTATTCTGGTACTTTGCTGAATTCATTTATCAATTCTAGTAATTTCTTGGTGGAATCTTTGGGATTCTCTATGTACAGTATCATGTCATCTGCAAATAGAGATGGCTATACTACTTCCATTCCAATTTGGATGCCTTTTATTTCTTTTTCTTATCTGATTGCTGTGACTAGGACTTCTACTACTATGTTGAATAAGGGAAGTGAAAGCAGACATCCCTTTCTTATCCTCGATCTTAATGGGAATGCTTGGAGTTTTTGCCCATGGGATATGATTCCAGGGTGAGTTTGTATATATGGCCTTTATTATGTTTAGGTGTGTTCCCTCTAACCCACTTTGACTGAGTGTTTTGATCATAAATGGGTGCTAGATTTTATCAAATGCTTTTTCTTCATCTATTGATGTGATCATGTGGTTTATCACATTCATTGATTTGTGAACGTTGTACCAAACTTGTATTCCTAGAATAAATCCCACTTGATCATGGTGTATGATCTTTTTGATGCATTGCTGTATTTGCTTTACTTACCGGTATATTTCGTTGAGGATTTTAGTGTCTATGTTCATCCAGATACTGGCCTATAATTTTTTTTTGACTTCTTAAATTGAATTTATTAGGGTGACATTGGTTGATAAAATTATATAGGTTTCTGGTGTACAATTTTAGAATACATCATCTGTATATTTTTTAAGGATTTAAATTTTTATTTATTTTATTTTTAATTATATTTCATTGATTGCTATTAGTTTTCCTCAATTTTACCTCTTTGTCAAATCCACCCAGCACCCCCTGCTCCCTCAGGCAATCCCCTAACCATGTCCAGGGGACATGCATATAAGTTCTTTGGCTACTCCATTTCCTATACGATACTTTACATCCCCATGACTATTTTGTAACTACCTATTGTACTCCTTAATCCCCTCACCTCTTCACCCATTCTCCCACTTCCCCTCCCATCTGGCAATCTTCTGGTAACTAACTTCTTTTCTCTTGCTTTTAATAGTCTCTTTTTATTTTTAACCTTTGGCCTTTTAATAATGATGTGTCTTGAAGTGGGCCTCTTTGCATCCATCATGGTTGGGATTCTCTGCACTTCCTGGACTTTCATTTCTATTTCCTTCACCAAATTAGGGACATTTTCTTTCACTATTTTTACAGATTTCCAATTTTTTGCTCTTTCTCTTCTCCTTCTGGCACCCCTAGGAGGTGAATGTTGGACCTTTTGAAGTTGTCTCAAAGGCTGTTTATACTATCCTCATTTTTTTGGATTCATTTTTTTTCTTGTCCTGATTGGTTGTCTTTTGCTTCCTTATGTTCCAAATCATTGATATGATTCTCAATTTCATCCACTCTACTGTTGTTTTCCCTGTAAATTGTTCTTTATTTCAATTAGCGTATCCTTTGTTTCTGACTGGGTCTTTTTTATGCTGCCGAGGTCCTCACTAAGTTCCTTGAGCCTCCTTATAAATGGTGTTTTGAACTCTGCATCTGATAGATTGCTTATCTCCATTTCATTTACCTTTTCTGGAGTTTTGATCTACTCATTCATTTGGGCCTTGTTTCTTTGTCTCTTCATTTTGACAGCCTCCCTGGGTTTGTTTCTATGTATTAGGTAGAGATGCTTTGACTCCATGTTGATAGTGTTGCCTAATGTAGTAGGTGTCCTTAGAGGGTCCAGTGGCAGAGCCTCCCTATCACCCAAACTAGGTAGTCAAGGTGCACCCTTCATATGGGCTGAATACACCCTCCTCTTGCAGTTGAGCCTTGATTGCTGTTGGCAAGTCAATGGGAGGGAATTACCCAGGCCAGTCAGCTACAAGTATTGGCTGTGACCACTGACCACCAACCTCTTCCCTCCATGGAGGATCAGGTGTGCAG